GTGAATGAATACAGCATTTACACTGAACATGAACAACCCTTCTGTCCACGTGCCACTGAGGTGCCATACTGGATTTAGTTGTTAAAAATCAAACCACTAAGACAACTAAAAGCTCAAGAGAACAGGAAAAGATGAAGAAATCTGACATAGAGTAAGTGAGTTTCTTCTCAGCTTTCTCTATTTACATGTGAGCAGTTACTGTAAAAAATAAACCATAAAAACTTTGTGCCAAAATGAAGGAGGAGGAGGAGGAGGAGGTGCAGTTTCCTGCTAATCAGCCTTTCTGGGCTTGACCCCTGTGGTTGAAGGGTGGCTGTTACTATGGATACGTGAGGGAATCAAAGCGAGCCCACTGCTCCTCGTCTCACCTGATGACGATCGCACTGGTGATGACACAAATCACAGCGGGGGTGTTACAGAAATCTGTGAGCGTGAGCAGGCACTTTTATGTGTACATTTCTCTTACTTTGTTTGATTGTGTTGTTCTTTCTGCCCATTACGTCTTGTTTTTCCTCCTTCCTGTGAGCCGCATAATTACTCCACGATGATTTTCTATAGTGGGCATTCAGTAATGAATATGCAATACCAGCAGGGTAACCGTGCACTGCTAATGAAATAAAAAGAAGAACTGTACCAGACTTCATGAGAATCCATCATCTTATGCTGCTATACTGTCTACATGAACAACAGGGCACTGAATACAAAATTAGACTGAATATTACTTTCACATAAAGTTTTCGTGAGCTGCGATTCTCAGACTCCACTAACTCACACACACCCACACAAAAATCTGAGGCACAAACTGACCTAAATATAATGGAAGATACAGCAGCCGCAGACACAAGCACTCGACACTATCATAAATCACATGTGGCGATTACATTTGACATGTGCTTTTGTTAGTAGGTAGAAAAAACCTTCGACCTGATTCATTTGAACTCGACGGCACTGGATCTGTTCAGAGAGAAGTGGTATTAACGCAGGCGATAGAGGAGCCCGACGACAGGTATGAACAGATGAACGAGTGAACGAGACAGTGACAAAGGATGTGGGACAAAGTCAGCCAATGACTAACTATCCTTGCGTTGCTGTATGGCCTCTGCGGCCTCAGTTACCTTGGAGACTTGTCAGTGGGACGCCAAGGTCCAGGCTGGTCTAAGTCCCTCCTGGATTATGAATTACAGAAGGGGCTTAATACAGGAAACCAATTTGAATTTGATTTACAGTGCACATACACACATATAAAGAAGGACGCAGCAACAGCATTCAAACAGCCGTAGCTCGGCCCATCCTCATGAATTATACATGGCCGGTAGACGCCTCATAAACAGAGCAGCAGGCTGAATTCTCACACTAATCAAGGCCATTGATTTCCTAAAGCACAGCAGAGGCCAAAGGCTCCCATTTCTGAAACACACAGCACTGTCTGATGTCACTGTCCCCTTGTTCACATTCCATGTGACATTACAGCCAAACCTTTATGAGTGAAAGTAGGTTTTGGATTGAAGAGTTTGATGGACTGAGGTCAGAACCTGAGGCTGGAGCCAGATGTGTTCACCATCCACTGTGGGTGCTGGGATTGATATCACACAGAAGTGTGTCAGACGTCAGCGTTTCTGACTGGCTGAGGAATAAGATTCATGACAGCTTTCACAGAAAAAGAGTCTGATTTTTAAAAAGGAGTTTCACCTAGAATTTATATTCAAGTGCATGAGAAAGTTGTGTTGCCACAGTTCCCAGTAAGGTGGGTCCTCTGGTGGAGTGTTGAGACCTTTAACTATGCTGCCAATAAGAAATGAAAAATAAATGTGGGAACTTCTGCTAAAGATCAGCCGGGGCTCATATCCCTTATACCCTTCTCACTAGTGAAGAACTGTGAGGTTTGTCCTGAGGGTGACAGTGTCCGGGCTGTGCACGGTAGCCTGTTTTCTTGCATTCAGACTTTTCCTATTAACTGTTATAGAAGATGTGATAAAGTCCAGGTGCTGATATGGTGACGTATCCTACCTGTCTGAGGATGAAGCTGGTGGAGGTGGTGCTGCCGTCAGACCTCTTAAGTCTGCTGCGTCTCGAGTAGGTCCCTCTGTTCGCCTGCACAAAAGAAACAAACACACAAATGTAATGCACTCTTTCACTCTGTGTACTTCTCAGCCTGTTATTGCTGTATCTCCCTGTACTGAGCCCTGACTCTCTCACTACACTAACTCATGGGCCTCTTCTGTCCAGCACCTTGGCCCCTGGGGTCGACGAAGGTCTGGCTCCGTCTAGCTGCCTGCTGTCCTCTGTGATGATATGAAGTCAATGATTTAACTGCCATCTATAGTACATTTCTCTTCCAGGACCACTGTTGCACACACCCAAACATCTGGCCTTCTTTCATATGTAGTCAGTTTACGTCAGCGCTCGAGGAGCCAGTGAAGTGACACTTCAGCTGACATGTGAAATACGATAAAGGACTTCTCAGCTTCACTGACACTGTAACTGTGGCATCCCGTCTGTCAATGGGTGATGTTGGACAACATCTGGGCATAAGATGACATCCTCAGTTCTGTCTGACCATCAGTCCAGAAGATACATCACTGACAAAACAGTCCCATCTCAATGTCCATAGTGAGTCTCATCTTCTGGAACTTTTGACTGTACTGTTTATCAGCACATTGTGTTTCTTCAGTTGCCATGGAGCTGTACCGTTTGTTCAAACTGGCCATGACTCGGAGATTTTCAGTTTAATGTCACAATATCACTACCAAGTAGAAATACAGAAAATCCTCAAAGCTTAGAAGCTGGAACGAGGTAATGTTTGTAAGTTATGCTTTAAAAAAACTATATGATCAATTATGACAATAGCTGCAGATAAATCCAATCAGTTTATATTCATAATAAATGATGCAGGCTGCAACTTGCATTCTTCAGCCATCTAGAAAACCAAGCGTGTGTACAATGTCCTCTTTTGTATCACATCCCTAAGAATACGGTGCACGCTAACTGCTCAGTCCACCTTGACATTCACTGCAAAACACCACAATTAATGCACAATTTATCTAACACTGCAATTTCCCTTTGGAATTGATAATAAGTGACAATTGGTAATTAGGGGTGGACATGGTGACAATATACATTTCATGAATTTATACTGTCACAGATTTTGGAATACCTTCTAAACAGTGATACTCATCCCTTTGGGCTTTCTGGATATATTTTGACAAATATTACAAATAAATAAGCAACTGTAGATGATTACCATGATTATGCATTTGCACCAATTGATCATGATAATAACCTAAATTTAATAAGTGCAGCAGAAGAACTAAAATTACAAATGTGTTTCAAATGTGCAGCAAACACAGTCACAGTGTTAAAGATGTGTTTCTTCTGTGGTGTGACGAGCTGCTCCACCTCATCCACCATCAGCTCCACCAGAGAATGTTTAATAATTAAGCACATCATTACATTTCTTTTTGGATGATTCAGGACTGTGGGACCTGAGCCTCTTTTTGACTAATGACACTGTGGGGATCATTAGACATGATGAAAAATGTGGCTTCAGCTAAACTGGGAGCAGAATAACGAGCCCAGTAAGTCTGTGGGAGCTAAACTGGGAGCAGAATAACGAGCCCAGTAAGTCTGTGGGAGCTAAACTGGGAGCAGAATAACGAGCCCAGTAAGTCTGTGGGAGCTAAACTGGGAGCAGAATAACGAGCCCAGTAAGTCTGTGGGAGCTAAACTGGGAGCAGAATAACGAGCCCAGTAAGTCTGTGGGAGCTAAACTGGGAGCAGAATAACGAGCCCAGTAAGTCTGTGGGAGCTAAACTGGGAGCAGAATAACGAGCCCAGTAAGTCTGTGGGAGCTAAACTGGGAGCAGAATAACGAGCCCAGTAAGTCTGTGGGAGCTAAACTGGGAGCAGAATAACGAGCCCAGTAAGTCTGTGGGAGCTAAACTGGGAGCAGAATAACGAGCCCAGTAAGTCTGTGGGAGCTAAACTGGGAGCAGAATAACGAGCCCAGTAAGTCTGTGGGAGCTAAACTGGGAGCAGAATAACGAGCCCAGTAAGTCTGTGGGAGCTAAACTGGGAGCAGAATAACGAGCCCAGTAAGTCTGTGGGAGCTAAACTGGGAGCAGAATAACGAGCCCAGTAAGTCTGTGGGAGCTAAACTGGGAGCAGAATAACGAGCCCAGTAAGTATGTGGTAGCTAAACTGGGAGCAGAATAACGAGCCCAGTAAGTCTGTGGGAGCAGCCTGCTCCTTTAGTCCATCAGTTTTCAGTGCATGTGTTTTGGGGGCTCTCTCTCTCTCTCTCTCCCTCCCTTTAACATTTGACTGTCTTTTATTTAGGTGATATCTGTGTGTTCCTCTGATTAAAGCTGATTAACATGAGAACAGAAGAGATTTCTGGCTTTTGGTTTTTTCATTCTCCTACCTGGAACACGGGCTTCTGCGCTCCGTCTCCTATCCCATGTCGGGTGTAGATGTGCCGGGACATCTCGGCCAGCCGGGGTGGAGCCTGCCGCTCGGCGGTGCCGCTCCACTGAAGCTGCTGCTGCTCCGGTGGCGAACGGTGAACCGCCGACTCCAGCTCTGCTCCGGTGTGGCCGCGACAGAAGAAACCGAATGGTACCGTGTACCTGGCCCGGCTCCCTGCTGAAGATGAGCCCCGTACTGCTGTAGTTTGCTCGGATGGAGCCCGTTTATGAGCCACATAGTGGCCCTCCCCCTTCACTCCCACCTCACAGGGCCGGATGGTGCTGCGTTTGGGTGCCACACCGAAGTTCACCATTTCAAGTGAGATGCACAAGGTCGGACAAAAGAAGGAATGAGTCATGTGAAAGAGCACTAATGTTGTTCTAACCGTCATCCAGGTGATAAACTATATGAGCCTACCACATTTTACACTCACTACAATACAGTGTTTATCCTTTACAATGGACTGATTAGGAGAAAACAGCTAAAAGCACAAGTCCCCCTGACCTCTGGGCCTGGAAGGCCCTTTTACTAAAATCTACATACACCTTTCCAGAATTGATATTTCATAAATATACACTTACACTAACTTACAACAAAGCCACTTTCAACTAATCTGGATTTTTCACTTAAAAATAAAACTGAGCAGTGTTATGGCACCAGATTCACCAGGACAAACAACAGATGATGAAACCGCCTCAGTCATCCTCCACAGAGCGAGTGACCAGCTGTGCTGTGCTCAGACAATCCCAGCCGAGGACTCTGTAAAGCCTTTAAACTGTGTGGATATGGTGCAGAACAGCCTGTGGAGAATTTAACTGAACCGTTTTCACCTGCACTTTATCACCACGGTGACACTGGCATTTAAAGAACTGCCCAGTGCATCCCTCTGAAGAGGAAAGGGCAGAAAAAGGCCAAGCTGAATGAATAAATCATGTCTATGATACAATCTGAGTATAGACTTCAAATGTTTGCAGGGAAATGAAAGAACAAAACACCGCTGCTCACCCAAGGCCCATTTTATTCTTATTTCAGAGAATATTTATACGTTTGCTCCAATTTTATTTTTATTTCAAAGAATATTTATATGTTTCCTCTGTTACAAAAGCTTTTTTTAAAATCCCACACAAAAGAACCTTTGCTGAAATAGTTTAAATATACAAAATTACACACATCCCATTGGATTCTAAAACTGAAATTCCTCACCAAACTTGTATCCGCATCGATTTCTAAAGAAAAACAAGGCATCCAGTGGTAAATAAATGTTTACAAAGCTAAGGTGCAATGTCAATGTTGCTGACAAACCCAGGTATTTTACATCTAATATACAATGATTTAATAGGAGCTGCAGCTCCAGCTGAAATCCACACTATGGAGCTGCTGCTGCTGCTGGACAGATTCTCTGAAAGTCGCTCTTAATGTTAACTAAAAGCTGACAACACATCACCACAGAGTTCTTTCTTCATATTAACAAATGATTTCAGAACCTTTCCTAGATTTTGGTCCATTTACACTTTGCTTAGACAAAAGTAAAAGCAGAAGCAGCACAGGGATAATCATCACACATGTGTATAATGTCTCACTATATATAAATCAAAGCACAGGGAACATTGCTAACAAGTTCGAAACTAAAGTATAGTGACATGAAACATCACAGAACTGTGCATTTGCATATAACTTGGGAATCCAAACAGGTTCCACAGGAAAAAAAAAAACCCCGCAGCATGAAGATGGAAGGCAGGGATGTGATGTAGTAATCATGAACAGATGCAGCATTTCACCAGGTTAATAAACACACAATTTTTCAGCTCACCAGAAAATCTGACGAGCCTTGTAAAGTGTCATTTTGCAGTGATGAGGAAACCAGTAATGAGTAAGTCCTCAGACGCATAAAAAACAAACACGCACAAAATGTCAGCTTAAATATCTCAACTGCAACCACAGAAAGCGTTACAAGACGGTGAGTTCACGGGAAAGGCATTGTTGAACCATTTACTGTACACAAATATAACGGTTAGCATACATATCTGAATGGATGCTGGTGAGGAGAAAAAACAAGGCTCTAGCTTCTTAAATAACTGCACAGTGAACAGATGCTACCTGTCCACAGGTTTAGTGAATGCTATATCAGTCCAGAATGTTTTGATCATTCAGTGCAAGCTGAACCACTCAGATGGTCACAATGAACTGCACCTGCCTTCAGACAATATGGCCGTTAAAAAGGAAAACAAAACATTCAGGCCAAGTTCACGCTGATGCAGATAAATCTGAAAAAGCCATTTAGTTGTCAAATGGGGTTCAAACCACACTGGCTAGCACTAGCTACATGTCTGTGCATGCTAATGGAGGCTCAGGAGACTGGGGGACATACTACAGCCGGGTCGTTCAACCTTCTGTCTCATAAGCTTCTGACAGAACAGATGTGCTGCAGTCTGATCGATACGGCTGTCCAAACCGACAACATGTGCCAAGAGGCTCACATTTCACTTGTGTGTTACTTGTAGATCTGCAACTCTGTTTTGTTCAAACCTGCACATGCAATTACCTGCATCTTGTATGAGGCCACGTGGGCTGCTCTCATTTCAGTGAGAATACTGTACAATGCCCTGAAACGTTTCACATTTATCTACATTAGTGTGGACATCGCCTGACTCTCTGCAGAAAAATGACATGTGGTATGGATGGTCAAATAGCGTTGTGTGGGAGCAGCGCTGTGGTTGACTACGAATTTCTTCAAACGAGACAGCGATCGGTGGATGACTGTAGTGGTGGGCAAACCTGACTCTTCTTCTGTGTTAAGGTGAGATGTTTGTAAAGGCCAGCGTCGCTTTCACTCAGCCAGGACAGGACAAGAACATGTTGAGCCTCACATACAGTAGCTGAGTCCTCAGTTGCACAGCAGACCTGAATTATATACACACCTCAGGTATTTCAACTTTCCTGTGGTGTTGTCAGTCCAGTTTCAGTCACAAAAAAAGATCCTAAAGCAAGAACACACACACACAAAGGAAGCCAAATGAACGCACAACTAGCAGCTGAAATATCTGAAGTATGCATTCATCTCAGGTCTGCTGTCAGTTGGAGTTTTACAGCAGAGGCTGCTGATAATACGCTGCCTGCTGCTGAGGAGCTTGGTGAGGAGGAGCAGCCACAGGATAGGACCCAGGAGGCACACTGGAGCTATGATAGGCCGACATGTCCATGGCCACACCTGACTGGGGTGGGTAAGGAGCTCCAGCTGCTTGGTTCATGTACTGGGCATTCATACCACTGCTGGGAAGAAGTGGTGACAAATACAGAGAGTGAGTCCCAACATGTGAAAATGATATTTGTATGTAGCAAATTAAATCTTAAGTAGATCCTTGTAGATCTCTGTCTTGATCATCCGAAATCTCGAGTACAACTGCAGTACACAGACATACTATATTCAAAATCATAAACACTGTAAATAAGAAAGCCACACAATACACTCCAGGTCCACACCACTGACACCAGCACTTTACTTGTTGACAGTGGTGGGGCCTGTTCTCTTACCTCATGTAGGGAAGCTGAGCAGCTTGGCTGTTTGGTGGAGGCAGTGAGTGGAGTGGTCCAGGCTGGTCACTGGGCAGACCGTACGGCTGTGCAGGAGGAACCTGGGGCATCGATGGAGGCAGGTAGGGAGTGCCTGCTGGGCCAAGGTAGCCCTGAGCAGAGGGAGAGCTCATCATTCTCATTTAAAAAGGTGAAGAAAGAATGGACTGGCGTTTAAAAAGGTGAAGAAAGAATGGACTGTCGATCTTTCTTCAGTCCAACAAACCAAACGTTAAAAATAACTTGGCAACATTAACAGACTTGCTGGAAAGATTAGAACGTGTTGTTTCTACTGTTTCAGTTTTGTCCAGATCAAATCAAAGATGTAATGCATTAATTAGTGAGCTTCATGTTTAGTTACCTTTGGACAGAGCCAAACAGTTTCACCCCGTTTCCAGTCTTTACGCTAAGCTAACAGTTACTGGTTGTACATTTAACGTAGTCATGACAGGGGTAAGCCCAGAATGAAAATTCCAACACTAAATAGGAACAAATACTAAAAATGTAATGATTATGGAGATGTCCATGTTCTCATCCAACCCTCTCAGCTGCAGGTTTCTGAGCCTATAAATTCAGGGAGTTTCTTTCCACTTCCTCAGAAAGTTAGTATCTGATCACTACTAACAAAAGAGAAGTTCATCACTGAATGTTTGGCTGCTGAAATGTGGATAGAGAATGAGAAATAGAAAACATTGTTGCATGAATAAAGTGCAGGCTGTTCCAGTAAAGCGTGTAAAGTGCTGTGGTATTTTTCATGTGATGAAAAGATGACAGAGAGAGCACAAGGGATGCTGTAGAGGTTCATATAAATAGGACTAGTACCAAGATTTCTATTTGTATTCTCACGTGGAACACAATGTTTCTCACTGCAGGTGCAAGAATCACCTGAAGGTGAGTTTTACAGTGCTCTGCCAAAACAAACAAAAAGAAGCTAAAGTCATTTTAAAAAAGGGGGATCAGGGTCGTAGTGTGGGCCTGCTCAGTGAAGTGGACATTTTTCTAAATGTCAAGGGAGAGACAGTGACATCAGTCAATACAGAGAAAACAGCTATTGCCAAGAAAACCCAGACAGTCCCTGACTCTCCAGGGAGAAGGGGGGGGGAGCTGAATGTCAGAATGAGTCCAAGAAGCATGAAAATCAGCTGCTTTGCTGGCCAAATATATCCCACGAGTGTAGAATGTCAGAAATACAACATGAGGCTAATAGCAAGGTATAAGCATGTGACTCCTTTGAATGACGTTCCTCTACATTCACCCTCTCACATCAAGAGATCAACGGACTACAGTTTGCTGTGTTCAGGGTAACTGGGGGTGCACATCCTGGTAGTTGACAGTTTGTCAAACAAACATCTCCTCTGAAACTGAAACTCCCCACAGTGTCAACCCTCCACTGAATCTATCTTTAACCCATCTATAACTGGATTCCTAGCGTTGGCTGCAGTATTGTAACTAGAACCTGAATGATTCGTTCTGTCGTTGTCCAAGCAAACCTGAATTCAGTGGATTACTCCTAAAGACAAATTAAGTTGCAAGTCTCCAAAGTGTCCTGTCATTTAGACGCTAGTGTTTCTGCAGTTCAGTTAACCAATCCATTAACCCTGAACCATATTCATCTTGCTATATAAAAGCTTTGGAGCCGTTCAAATCCAAACCAAGATGGTTTCTTTAGTGTCCTAACCAACACTTGTCTTGTTTAGTTTGTCAACAATGTTACTGCAAACACTGTTCACTTGAGCCTGCCACTGGAAACCCATTCTCAGACAGCAGGGTGTGTTTGGTGCTTTGTCTTTGCCCTTTACATTTGGTTGTATACTGCAGTTCTGCAACTGATTTATTGATCTGCTGGCTTGTAGAGAGACAGGGAATCTTTCACTGTGGTGCAAAGCTACATCAAATGTTTACACATCAATTGTAAACATAAAATTAGATCTGGGCAGAACAGAGGACAACTCTGGTGCATCGTTCTGACCTGCATGGCCACAGCTGGGCCGGATGGTGTGTACTGTGGCTGCATCTTCGAGTAGGCAGAGTAGAATGGCGCCTCATTCACCAGCTGGTTGTACAGAGCCAGGGCCTCCAAAACCTTCACATTCAACTCTGACAACTCTGAGTGTTTCCTACAACATAAAAAAAACACATACCATATATTGGACAAGGATATTTCTTATTTGTGTACAGTAATAGTGGCTCAGGTCTGTCAACACCATCCTACACAGTCTCAACAGCCAAGGCTCATCGTCCTTGTTGGAAACTTCAAAACGGCCATGATCTTAAATGCCAAGCAAAAACCTAAACTAACCAGTAACAATTCTGATGAACATCCAAACAGTTCACAGTAGATCACACTACCTGTCAATCTCTTGTAGCTTTTCATCAATCATCGGATTCATCTGTTCACATGCGCCTGTTCAAACAGATACAATTAGGGGAGGAATCAAAGTTAGAAAACAGTGCAGCCTGAGATTTATGGTAGCATTAGGGTTTATACCCTCCAGCTGGATCAGATCAGGGGAGTCAGGAGTCACATCTGCAGGATCTACATTCTGCAACAGAGCCAGCGCTCTGTCCATCTTCTCCTGCAGAAAGAGGGAGCAGGTTTGGCTTGGTAGTTTGACTGAGAGGTGATCTGGGTTTGTAAATGTATGTGCACACAAGAAATGTATTACCTCATCAATGAAGACAGGCTCAGGCTCAGGTCTGCTTTCCAGGCTCGTCTCTTCAGGACTGGCTGTCTTTTCAACATATGCCACTGTGAAGGAAAAGGTCAGTTCAGAAACCAATGAGTTCCAGTTTAAAAACCACACAGCTGAAGAGCACAGAGGATTCTAAAAGAGTGTGCACCTGAAGGGGCTCCAATGTTCACACTTACCAGCCTCTGGCTCGGCGTTCAGATTGGTGGTGACAAAATTGGAGGGGAAAAGCCCCACTCCTCTGTGGTTCTCTCCTTTCCACCAATTGGGATCGCTGCACACACAATAAACATCAGTGAGCAGGAGCTTCTAAGAGCAAGTCACAGCGAGTGTCTGGTCAAAGCTCACCAGCCTGAGCCATCCCAGTGTAAAATGAATTCTCCAGTCCCCATGTCTGTGACTGTGCTGCTAGTGTCAGTTATTAATGTGGTTACACTGAGTCTTTCTGGGATGTTATAGTCCATGGCATTAGCTGTGCTACACACTTTGCCCAGCTATTTAAAAAATGGACAGTTTATGACTGGAAACCAGTAAAGCTCTATAAAGAGGTCTGCTCCTGCATGCAAACAAAAGCATTTATACTTTTCATTTGACAGATGGTGGCTATGATGATCAACATGTGGTCAGAGCTGGTTACATCATTCCAAAAACAACATTTCCCATATTAAAAAAAGTCTCTGACATAAATAAGATTCATATTTCTAGTTGCCTCTCTGTCACATGGTAAACGAACCCTGGGATGTTAGAAATGTTATAAAAGTAGGATTTATTGCATTTATTGTGTTAAAGTGGACTGCATGTAGCTGAAGAATGAACACAATGGTTCACAGTTTGAAACATATCACAGCTTTGAACAACAGACTGGAGACGCTGCAACACCACTGAGTCCTATTCTAAAACTTTAGGATACTGCAAAGCTGATTCATGTTACCTGTCGTCCAAAACCAGAATAAGTTCTCCTGCTTTAAAGGTCAGCTCATTATCTTCAGCTGCTTCAAAATCGTACACTGCACGCACTTTCCGGGCCTCCTGACCTCCTCCGCCATTGGTGTAGTTGGGGGGGTCAGAGGTCACATTCAAGGGCCGTGTCTCCACCTTCTGCTCCTGCAAGGACAGCTCGATGGCTGCGAGAGGTGGAGGTTTGGATGGCAAGAAGAGAGAAGTGAACAGGAGAACAGTGTGTTTGGTAAACTTCCAACACAAATGGGCTTGGCACAGACACAAGATTCATCACTTTTATTTTTTATTTTCAGAAAATAAATAGCTCCCAGAAGACTGCTGAAAGGCAACAGACAACCTTTTGGTGAACACAAAACATAGCTGAATTCATTTCAACAGTTCTACTCCTTATGGTAAAGGAGTATTTCTCTCAGACTACAGGTACAAATGGATAAGTCTTTAAACTACAGTACAGCGGCTAGAAAATATAGATATCTGTTATAGAAAATGATGCTAAAGGTGTGTGGAGCTGAATGATGGTGCCTCACTTTACCTTTGGCCAGGTCGTCATCATCTGAAGCTTTGCTCGCTGCAGGTGTGTTGACCTTTGTGGTGGACCCCTGTGGTCAGTGTAGAAAGATAAGGTCACATCTGTGTATGTGTTTCCATACAGGAAGCAGTGGGAATGAAGCACTTACAGTATGACTAGATGTGGAAAACCAATTTCCAATGACTGCAACGCCATCTACAGATCATATTTTGTGCTACATGTCGGACAGAAACGCTCCACACAAAGGTCTCACTAGCTGTTCTCTAAGGTGACCTAAGGCAGCTCGCTCTGTCTTTTCCATATACAGCTTAAGAAAACTAACACCCAGGAGCAGATCTACAGGCTGTCATTTCATGACAGTTCCCTCACTTTGAGATCCCATAACGTAGCAAGAAAACACATTTATGATCAAGTGTTTACACCACTTTGGCTGAGAATGACCAAGGGAACAAAAGAGCAATACGATGGTTAATAATGTGCACGGTGATTTAATGTTTAATAAAATAAGTTCAGGTCACACATAAAAGCAAATTCAAGCAAATCAATATAGAATCTGACCCAAACTTGTAAAACTTGTCATTTCTGAGCAGCAAATATTATCTGAGCAAACACACCGCGGAGAAAACCGTTACTGCATGTTTAAGTATGTAGTGTCTAAAAATGCAAGTGCTTCATGCCCACTGGTGATACTCAGTGCATTACAGAGCAGTGAAAAACAAACACACACACACACGTTTAATACAGTGGATGAGGAGAATACTGCAGGTGAGGCTACAGTAGTAGTAGCACACTAATGTCCTCATTCACACCCAGAGGAAACAGTGTGTAAAGATAAAATATATAAACAGTGTTCAACACTGTTGTTATTAAAACAGTTAAAACCATGTGACCTCACTTCACACCTGGATGAGAGCAGAGCGCCTGTGTCTGATGGGTGGAGTTCTCGTTCCATCTAAAATTAGCACAGCAAACCGCACGTGCCGCTAGTGTCGCCTGAAACTAACGGACTAAGACGAAAACACCATGCTATGTGTACTGGCAGAGAGGTAAACAACAGGGACTGGGGGACTCATTTGTTTTACATGACTTGATGATGTAGCTGTAGCCACACACACACACACACAACCGACCGGTGTACCGTCTAAAAATAACCTTAAAGTTCAGTGTGAATGATAGGTAAGCACTCGGAAGTGCTGGCGCAGCTTGACTCACGCCACGTGCTGCTGTTTGCTCGTCACCTGACAGAGAGTAAATGTCAAGCCTGCTGCTTCATGTGCTACCTGCTCTCCATTAGGCCAGGTTCCATCCGACATGATCCACAGCCAAGTGGAACACACTCAGCAGCAACAAAGTAAAGATGAGATGAGACTTCACATTATACCAGACAACCTCAATAATAAACATCAAGTTCAATTAATGCCTCTCTGACAGTTTCAGTCAAAGGATTTATGGCTGAGCTGTTGTGTGGCCACTGAGATTAGTCATCAAGATGTGAGAGTTTCACCATGAAGCCCATTCTTATCCACTTATCTGTGTTATTTAGCCAGACTGACATTTTGTTTGCATATACATTTTTAACTCACGGTTCATTCATAACTTGACTGTGAGCCACACATGAGAAAAACAAAGACATGAAAATATATCATGACTCTCAGTATGTGGAGTGGCAAATGCAGACCATTAAACATCTAAAGCAGCAAAGCTCTCAGTAAGCCAAACAAAAACAAACACCCGGCAGCCACAGATAATGGAGCTGCAGGTCAGGTGCTTTATGACAACCTGACAGCAAAGTCCACTGCAGCTGTTGACACATATAAGGCTGTTACATAACAAATCAGACAGACGACTGCAGCTGTTGACACATATAAGGCTGCTACATAACAAATCAGACAGACTGAACAGAAACCAGAAGGCAGCTCTGTCTGATCACAAACACAGTCCTGATCCAAGAACGTCCACAGAATGTGAAGTTATGTGGACTATGTGAGGAGGAAATTCCACTGTAAGCTTCTGCAACACAAACACAGACTGAAGCGCTAAACCAAACCTGAACCTTCAGGCTGAACCAACTGGCCTGCAGTGAAACCACAGACATATTTGCACTGCCACACACTTAGCTTGTTATTGTGGGGGAAGAAATCCAGAAAAACAAAGCAGTGTGGAAGAGAACTGTGATGAATGATGGCTGCTAATATGTCATATTTACTGAATGATATACGAGTCAAAACATGCAGTGTCCAACAAACAAGACCAACTCTAGTAGATACAACTAAATCTGTCTGTGACTGAAAAGTTTTCCTTGCCAAATTTAGTAAAAGTGTAGTTGTTTTACCAAACCGGTATTCACTGGAGGCCTATTGTGTTGTGGTGTGTATGTTAAGGTGCTCAACATATTCTGTCCCAGTATTTTATGTACAATGGAGGCATTTTAAGCCTGTGAGAGTTAAAGAACCTGATTTAAAGACAGTTCTGTAAGCTTCAGTGGATTTTGAAGCTACTCTACTTTTGGCTGTTCCCGTTAGGGGTCGCCACAGCGAATCCAATTCACATGAGGTTTACGCCAGATGCCCTTCCTGACACAACCCTCTCTATTTATCCAGGCTTGGGACCAGCACAGAAGTCACTGATGTGAAAACCCCTGTGGCTAGATGCACAACCACTCCTGGGGCCAATTTAGAGTCTCCCATCAACCTACGCTGCATGTCTTTGGTGCACCCAGAGAGACTTCAGTGGATTTTTAATACATACCTGTGATGATGCAGAGGGAAAGCTGACGCCTTCCTCTTTCAGAGACTTGATGGTGGCACCAATCAGGCTGAGCTGTGGATCCTTCTGAAAGTCTTCTGCCCACTCCACCATCAGAGCCTTCAGCTTTTCACATACCTTAGGGTGGGCCTACAGGAGACAGGCAAACAGACAGCTGTGTTGCTCTCTCCTATGTTCTGATGCCAGGAAGAGGCTCTAATGGCTGCCCAATAACAGGGTTCTAACACAGCTAAGGACCAGATATAGTTATGATAATAGCTGTGACACGTCAGTTAACCTTCCTCAGAGTGTGAGGGAGCACATGTGCGTGGCCGAGCCTGTGCTAAAATGACAGACAGATATGGTTTCCAAACTAGGATCAGTGAGAAAAAAAAACCCCAGCCAGGTTTACATACCCTGCTCAGCACACTCCTTACGTCACTGGCAAACTCTCTTGAGCAGATTTCCAAGTGGAATATTTTGCCACAGTTTGACACACAAGCACCCAACAACTGCAAGAGAAAAGGTTGAAACTGTTTAAAAAAAGGAGATTAAACAGCTGATCTATTTTGTATTATAGCGAAAATGGGTTTTTATGAATTTCAACCATTCACATAACTGAACTCTTCAGGGCACAGATTAATAGCAAATGAAGGCTTTATATTCACTACAGAAATCTAAAAACAGAACAGGGCATGTGACAGGATTCATAAAATGTGCTCATGTTGACTCAGGCAGGAAACAGCTCTCACATTCTCAAATGAGTTGAATCCTCCCAGTATGAAATCTGCCACTTTCCTTTATGGCTTTAATACTGGGAATATTAAATCCATTAGAACTTCACCACAGCTTACTCGCACCAAGTGAACACTTACTTCTCGTACCTAAATGGGACATAAGAGTTTGACCCTTCTCACATCTGTTGAGCTTTTGTTCTGTTGCTTTTGGATTCGCTGGAGTTTAAATGCTTATTATGAACAACTGTTACAAACAGATGAAGAAAGACAGACAGTGTGTTTTGGATCACCACAATACTGAAGCTACCTTTTTGTCATTTCCATGTTGGCCAAGCCTACGTATACAGTATGTACACAGGAACTCAGGGACATTTAGAGGTTACTGTTAACTTGATTAACTGTTGCTTTGTGAAGCACTTTGAGATCAGTTTGTTCTGTGGTGACAGTTTTGACTTAATAATGTCAATTTATGAAGCAAATACAATAAAGAACAACATCAATTGGGACTTGAGTCAAAAGTATTAAATGATTTTAAAAGACAATTTATTCTCATTATAGTTTCTAGCATGTTTGTGAGTGCAGACATTTTCAGAACGTATCTGAAAATGTCTTTAACATGAAACTGGCACAAAGATTTGGTCCAGGTTTTACTGGTGCTGGCCAAAATATGGATAGAACAGTCATGCAGTAGATTCTCTGATGGCATGCATATTTGAGATGTGTGCATATTTTGCAGCAGGGCAACGTGGTAAACTCACATTGAGGGCCTGCATGGCAACATGAGGTACTTTGTGGTTGACTCTCTTCATAATGGATTTCAAGCTGTCTTTTGGCCTGAAACAGAAGACGACAGAATTCATTTCTAGCCCAGGAACTACTAAACAACACAACGTCCTTACACGGGAGATGCTCAGAGCGTCATGCCAATGTGCTGTACTTACAGCAGCAGCTAGGTGAACCACAGTGCTGGTCACATGCTAATGAGTTCTTATTATTCACAGGAAAATCTTTCTATTCAGCTTACCCATTAGATGTTGTTCCAATCTTATCACAGATGTCCAGAATGACGCCCCAGTCATCTGTTGTGTTGTTTTCATTGGTTGCCTTCTCTGGAAATGTGTCAGACAGGGATACAGTACATATGGTGCAGTGAGACCATTTCTTCACTAGCGTCACAGATGATTGTCTTCAAACACAATGTATTTGTGGGCTAACATACCAGCCGTAATGGGCAAGTGTTAATGTCATGAATAGCAAGTGCTGCGCTCCCACATTTGAAGCCTGAAGTTGCATAAATCTTGTAACAGTCCTACAACAAGCCAACTAAATAACTGAGTTTCCCTTAAAATGTAAAGTTTTGTGTTTAGTTTTATTATATTTTATAAAACATTTTTATGATACAAGTGGTCTTTTTGTCAGGTTACACTGCTGCTTTCTAATATTTAAGCAGAAAACCCCTCAAATTAACATTTCTAGTTCATAGTAAACTCATGCCACCACTCATAACACTCAAGAGAGCCAGTTAAGAGTAACAGTGTACTACTGTCTGAGCACAGGGACAGATAAGCACGGTGACACGGGACGTTTGCATGGCATGACTATAATAAAAGGCCTCTGCAACTGTCAAAGATAACACAAAATCAAACAGATTCATAAGAGCAACGCGTCGTAACCACAGCTGAAGTGATCAGTTTAGTTTTAACTGAGAGGAGCAGCACAATAGACAGAAAACAATTATATTAATCCAATAATCAGAAGATTACTGATAGGATCAATAATCACTTCTCTATCAAGTAAGACAAAGGAAAGCAGCAAATCCTAAAAATTCAGAACTGGACCTAGAGAAATGAAAACAATTACTTCAGACGGTACTTGATTATCAAAACAGTTCCAAAGTTAAAATAACTTTGCATCAGGTGACTATCCCAATCCAATAAATGACCAATAATTTCAGCTTTGATTGAACATTTGATTAGGGCTACAACCAGGGTATAAATTTCACAGTGGCAGTCACTGCCCTGGCATCTGGCCGTGATGCCCTGTATATCTGTCAGCGTTACACGGCCACAGTGGTCCCTCATCAGATGTGAGGAAGCTCTCAACTCCATCAGATGTTCTCAGGCCCGTGAGATCTGAAGAGTGATCTCTGTTAACGATAGTTCATGCTCTGTCACTCACACACGTGTGTGTTTATGGATGCATTAAGGAGAACGGTGCTTAATAAAGCTGTTCACCCATCACTCATCAATCAAGCTAGCGGCGCTACAATAAGGTTTCCTTTAGTTTCACTGGATAAGCAGATCAAAGGGTGTAATATCTGGCTCTGGCCATAAGCTGTAAGAAAACTCAGAGGCTGTAAAACATTACATGTAGCGTTGAAATGTATCGTGCTTTCTCTGGTTTATGTATGTCTACTGGTTTTTTACTTATGGTTCTGGTTTTATTCTGTTTTTATGTTGCTACGCACACCGGGGGCCATTAGTCTGGAGTCAAATTCCTTGTATTTTTGACAATACTTGGCAATAAATGTTCTGCTTAGTACCTAATATACTTAATACCAACCTTAATAGGCAGCCATTATGCATTTATTTCTAGTTTCAGTGCTAGAAGTGATACTGGTCATGCTGTCATCACGATGCCAGAAGAATATAATTATTGCACCAGTTAGAGTAATTAGACACCCTTTCCTCCATTTTCTGCTTAATACATCCATGATTCTTCTGACCCATGATCTTAGGCAACATTAGCAGAGAGCAACAAGAGCTTAGTTTGCCTTGGCTGCCTTCAATAATGCCTGACCCCTTAGTTTGCCTCTGCATAGCTCCCTTTTCTAAACATGTATGCTGTGAACACTATGTTCATATAAACTACATACACATACATATCATGTCATTTGACACGGCCTTAGTGCTCAGTCCAGTAGCCTTAGCGCTCAGTCCAGTGGCCTTAGTGCTCTCCAAAAATGTAACAAATCAAAGACCAAATGGCCTTATCCTTCAAATGATGACATCTATAGCCGGGCTACAACTAATGATTACTTGTATTATTGATTAAACTCCTGATTATTTTCTTGATTGACTGTTTAGTATATAAAAGTCAGAAAATCGTGAAGAAGTAGCCTATCCATTCAAATTTCTCAGAGTTCAAGCCAAAGAGGCATCTTCACATACCTTGTTTTATGTGACAGAGAAAAACTCAGTGATTTAATTTACAATAATATTAAACAGGAAAAAGCAGGAAACCATGTTACAGGAGGAAATATTATGGAATTTCTACTTGATATATTACCTAAATGATTAACTATTTATTAAAACAGCTGTTGATTACCTTTCTATTGATAAAAATTTGATAATTGGACTCATAGTTGTAGCTCTATGTTTTATTAACAGTTTGAGGAGGTGAGGAAAAAAACAAATTATATTTTTGTTTCCATCTCATACATTATGGCTTTAAATTATTATAAACTTGATATCTTCTGATTTAGGACAATTCAAGGAAAATGTAATGGGATTAATTAGAGAATAATTATCAAGAGGTAAATGGGGATTTGAAATAATCGTTCATTTTCTGCTCTTATTTGACTGTCACGCAAAATGGAGAAAGAGTCGCACCAGCCATTTAAGCAGCATTAATATGGGATCAGCTGATCTAATAACTGATGATATTGAGTCACGTCCCGAAGACTAACATTAGTTAGTCACCAAGCAGCCGCTTACCCTAGCAGATAAATTTATCTATAGGGGTTAATGGAAGTTGTTGACAACCAGTCAGCTTGTCAGGTTCACACTAAGAAAGAGACTGAGACTGTCTGTTGTTGTTGCCACACTTGGTAGTGCTGAACAAGTTTACAAAGCTAACAGAAAAACACAAGCTAAGCTAAGCTAACGTTAGCTTCAAATGTTGTTGGCCCTATCGTTAGCTACACCTCACACGCTAAAACACCAAAGAAACCGCACTTCACTTACCAACATCTTGATCAAATGGATTCTGGGCAAATAAAGGCATGCTAACGAGTTGAAAAGCGCTAGGCCTGTTGACGAAAATGAAGTTCGGGTGCTTTCTAGACTAAACCTAAACAAATATCTCTTCCTTGTCCATGAAACTCAGCACCAGTCGGCACTTGGCTGCCTTCAATAATGCCTGAACACTATTTTAAAAATCGGAGTGTAATAGCAAATAAGTATTTGTTCATTTTGTGCTATTAAACGAGTACTTTTAAATTTTCAGAAATTAGAGCGCGTTGACCTAAAGTCATAGAAATATTTAAACAATGCTTGGCACTTGTGTTTAACGTCTCTGTTCGTCTTGTGAAACACTGACATCTAGTGGATAAAAGTGGTACATAATGTCCAGTGCAGTCACAAAGCACATTGGATTTGTAAGGAAGTAGATCCATAACGTTTGAAGGCGCTCTAACCAGTATCTGATATGTGTATATGTATATGATACTTTAAAAAAAAACTTAAAAATTATAGATTACTTGGCATTTACATCTATTTTGTAAAACGTCCCTGTTTAGCTACCTTAAAGTGCCCATGGCATGCTCATTTTGCTCGTTTCCAGCCATTTAATGTTTAATATTGGGTACCTCTAGATTAGCCTGGCACCCCTCCTAGTAGTCTGTAATTATGTCATAATCAGAGAGCCATAAAGTCTGTTCCTTAAAACAATAGGATAGTTCATGAATGTGCACAATTCCTGTTTCTGGTGTTGTGTCACAAGTCAACAGCACAGCAGGACAGCATTAATTATTATGAATTTCTCCTCCATTGAACAGCGGTATATGTACCGATGAAAAGAGATGTGTAACGCTCTATACAAAGCAGGTAGCCCCATATTTTAACTTCCATAATGCAGACACATAACTTCTCCAGCCTTACAACAGATCTCTCTAAGGTTACAGAAACAAGGCATTAACAGACATTAACAGGTAGCACAGTGCTGACAATAACATCATGGATAATCCACTTCTGACCCAGCAACACACGTCACATGTGGCAGACACACTGGCCTCAAGCAGTAAAAAAAACAAACAACAACAACAGGTATTGTGCTCCAGGGGAATCCAGCGTTGATGAGCTGATCACTAACCACCGCTGGAGCTTCACTGCCCTGCTGTTTGTAGGTTAGACCTGGTCAAGTAAAACGAGTCCCTGTACAGGAACATTCCCAGACATGCAGTAACCTCAGGCCTTGTATTTTTCTCCACATTCTCTGGTCACAGCAGCAGGAGGTAAAATATATCCACAAAACCAGGTTTTTTTCTTTTTCCCCCTAAGCTTTATTGAAAATACACATAACAAGCAAGGCAATATAACATTTTGCCAGTATGGTGGAGGCACCAGTGGATGTCAGGCAAGCACACATGAACACGCAACAGCCTGGATTTAATGCCCATTCAAGGAAATCTTAAACTATTACGTAATACTTAATTTTGCTAGAAAAAATGTCTCACAAGTGAGACTTATATAAACAATGAAAAGCATGCCATGGGCCCTTTAACATCAGTATTCCCCTTTGGGAATGAATATGTCTATCTATCTATCTATCTATCTATCTATCTATCTATCTATCTATCTATCTATCTATCTATCTATCTATCTATCTATCTATCCATCTATCCATAGAGGGCGCACCTCACCTCTCAAAGAGAAAATGACAAAGATTACAAACTTAGCTCAAGATAACTAATTCCTTTATGTTCAGTCGTAGTCTGCGCACTCCCAGTGGGGAAAAGAATCACATTTAAGTCACGCGGATATAAAATTCTGTTTAAAAAGCTGAATAAAGCCATACACTGAGCGACATATTGTTAAGGTGATAGGTGAGTGAAAGCGAAAGCGGAAGTACGGAGAACTGAACCACCTCGCTTCGGGACGACACTTCCTGGTCTGGCCCGTTCTCTGGTCCCCCTGGTCGTTTCCTGCCTCTGGGAACTTTCAGTCGCGGTTGTCCAGGACCAAAGACCTTTGAGGGTTGCAGTCATGTCGGCAGCTGCTCCGGGGACCAGCAGGGCGGCCCACAGCGATGCGGGCACGAAGAAAAAGAAGGGACCTGGTGCTCTGGCTACGGCCTACTTGGTCATTTACAACGTTATTATGACAGCGGGGTATGTAGCGTATGTTTCCTCCTGCTAACGCTGCTGCGCTGGAGCATGACTGGATACGGTTCAGCTTGGCAGGGCTGCATAGCTCAGGCACGATTTACCGTTTTAATGACATTTATGGCATGAATCATCTACAGGTGTTTATGCATTTATTACTAGAAACACAGAAAACATACTGTGTAAAAAAACTTTGATTTGGCTTCCGAGTTTCCAGTGGCTTAAATGAATAGATGAGCATCAGACACGCACCTGGCGTGCGCATCACCAGCGCATACAACGGAAACATATACACCCCGATGGTTTAGTACATGCACTCAGTGTTTATTTAAATAAACGGGTTATCATCATCATCATCTTGAAATTCATAATAATATAACGTTAAGGAGCCTGAAATGATCCAATTTATTATTTTATTACTTATTTATATTCCTATATCTTAAAGACACTAAGACAAAACCAAATGATCACACAGATGTTAAAGTCTTTATTTTGAAACCTGTGGTTTCATAATAAAAAATCAGTGTAACAGTCAACTAACTGTTTTATACGTGTTGAAGAATGGGTAGTTTGGTATGGTAGGAGCTTTGGGTTTTAGATAGAACTTATACAGAGATTATCATCACAAATCAACGTAATCTCTTTGGTTAGTTTTATGGGACTGCATTTGCTTTTTAATTGATTATGGCTCGATTTGTAATAAATTAGACTGGATACATGTGAGACACCCATTATATGGCTTCAGTATCTCAGCTCAGATACATGCTGTAAATAAAAAAAAGTTATCTTCAGCCATGAATGGAGAAATCTCAGTGTGTGTTTTATTGCACTGGATTTTAGACGGTTGCACAACTGAATGGTGGGTGGTGCTTGTTCGCTGTTCCAACCAGTTAGGTCACATTGTGTGGACCATACAGTGCTTGCTTTGTACTGAGCACAACTTAACTTAGAGTGGTGCAAATGCACATTTTATTGCTGTTCAGATGCAGTGTTTGCTGCTCAGTTTCTGCAGAACTGGTATTAGAACTGCCCCTGAATGAGGTTGAGGCCTGAAGTCAGTCTTCAGTCTGTGAAACCACTGGGTGAAGTGAAAGGCCCACCCTGCTCAGGCCTCGTCTAGCAGACTCTGGCAACCCTGTGCTGCAGCTCACCTTTGACCTCCTGGGGTCAAAAGACCAGCTAAATCTGAATGGTGTAGTGTATTACACATTTATGATCATTCTTTTATTGTACGTGCTGAAACCTTTATCATAAAAAAATGTCCACCAGACTCTATATGAACTTTGTACCTAGTCTTTAATATTTACATTTGTCTTTCATCACATGTTTTCCAGTCTAGATATTTGATTAAGATGTAGAGAAATTATCTCAAAATTAATTACTAATAATAAGTCAGCATGGTCAGAATAAGCACCTGTGCTTATTGTCTGGGTGCTGGATGTGGTTTTCCTCAGCCTCACCTGATGCTTCCTGTCTGTCAGAAAGCTAGTAATCCACTGACAGGTGGGGGCAGGTACAGTGAGTTGGGTCAGTTTGGAGTGGAGGATGTC